TGTTTAATTGATAAAACACAACTATATTACTGACAAATAAGTACGTCTAAAACTTAAAAGTTTAAAATGAGAATGCATAAAATGTTATATATGAAAAGAATTAAAATTGGAACATTCAATTAAAATGTGTTTAATTGATAAAACACAACTATATTACTGACAAATAAGCACATCCTCATCCAACATAAGATGGCTGTGTGTGAGAGAACTATATTCTATATGCATGAATTATGCAAGAACTTCTTGACTATTCCTATAATGTTTTGACTTCTATTCTTGACATCTAATTTAATCTCATTAAATTTATTATTAATTTAAGCTTCTCAATAAATCTGCCAAAGTCCATACATGTTATTTTGATGACAGTAGAAAGTTATGAAAGTAACATAAGACAAGACTGAAAATGCAGAGCTCTCTTGTGCCTTAACAGCAACATCAGCTAGCATGTTCTCTTTTATCCCAACTTGCATCAGGAGCCAATAAAACTTAATATGTCTTTAAACAAAAGGAGTTTTTCTTAGATTTATTAAGCTGGGGTGCACTATGTATTGCCAGGATATTAGGGTCTGTAAATTGTCTGAGTGAATTGAAAAATATAATGCAGAAATAGCTAAACAGATGACATGCTTCAATATAAAAAGACTGCCATTCTGAAAAGTACACAGATAATAACACAAAAGGTTGGGTAGCTACAATATTATCTGAACTCATATAAGATAATTCTGCGTGACCTAGAAATGTAAGGTACAAGATTGACTTACTTATGAATGGAAGTATACACATGAACACATTTAATTGAAGCAGTGAACACATTTAATTGAAAAATGCCAAAACGTTAGCATAGATTTTTTTCTATTTACAAAGCACAATTATACAAAAAAAAATAAATTGAGCTTAAGTACCAAAAGCATGTCAGGATGGCTAAATAATTTTTCCTAAATATTTGTGCTGAAATGAAAGTGCATCTTATGTATCATAAAATACAATAATACTTATCATAAATGAATGTGCTAAGTATATAAATAAAAAAAATTACCAAGTTGAGGGTGCCACTATTAGAAAAGGGTTGAAAAACACTGTGTTATTTATATGTATATATTGTCTACTTGGACTTTGTTTATTAATAGGACTAGATATTTTGTTTTGACTTTTGACTAAGATTTCCTCTCTTTGCTAATCAGAAACTTCATCAGTGTAATAAGTCCTATTAATAAACAAAGTCCAAGCAGACAACATTTAAATAGAAATGTAAAAACTAAGAACAAAGAAGTAAAAAAGAACTGTGTTATTTAATTAACTAGAATTCAAATTTGATTGCATATGCAGGCTTTATGAGTTAAATATTTTTATCAGTAATTTTTAGAGTGAACAGACACTATTCTAGTAATAAAGAAGAAAATATATACTGTATAACAGGATCAGAAAGGATTTATTTCCATACTAATTTCTATCAAATGACAGATATGTGAAAATAAATCCTTAATTGTTATCTTTACAAACAAATGTAGAAAAATGACCATTTCTAATAGTTATTATTATGGCTTAAATTGCTTGAAATAGTGTTCATTACACAATTATGCATAATTCATGGACAACTGCTATGAACCATCTTTAATTCTTTTTACATAAATACATTTATTTTGCATTTTCTCATTACTAATAAAAATATAAAAACTCATTTTTTTATTTTTTTGTCATACTATGATTATGATAATTTGCTACACAATCTTTTGGCATGTTTTTGAGAAAATGTTCCCTCCACCAGTATATCTGTATTTGCAAGTTACTTTGTTTTCACCCTTATATCCAGGTATCTTAAATCTTGAAGTCATCATTAACCTGTCCCATGTTATTCCCAACTTATCTTGGAGTCGCAACCTGCTGACCTTGGCCAGTTGGTCCGAGATATCTTGTTTCAGCATTGGAACATTTTTGAAACTAGATGCCGCTAGTCGTTATAATTTTTTTTATTAAAACTAACTTCTAAAATATAATTTTTTTTTTGTTTTTAAATTTATCAATATATCTATTTTGGTTTGTGCAAAATAGAAAAATAATTTCAGATAATACAATAGCCACAAATATTTTTCAAAAATGTGTAATTTTCATTAGGCTTAAATCAACAAAAATTCAACATCACACTACACAAAAAAGAATTTTTTGAAAAATTTCAACACAGGATAGGTTAAACCTATCCATATAAAAGTAAAACCACTGTCTTCTTGACAAAATTCTGAAAACAACTGCTAGACAAATATAATTAGTTAGCAGTGGACAAATTCATGAAGATTGGTATCCCACAACAACTCATCAACTCATGATCTGATAGTAGTGGAGACACAATTATATCATTCATGTCTAACTCATTTCATTACATGCTTAAATAATATGTAACTCAAAGCATAGAATGCAAGAAAGTTTAGAGTGAAATAATGAAAATTCAAGTACAAAAATAGTGAACCATCCATAATGATTTGTTAGAAAACACAACTTTGTGATAAAAGGGAAAAACTTCTTCCTCCTAACAGAGATTGAAGATTTGAATGCTTTGACAGACACATACTAAATGGCAATGTTGGAAAGTACCTGTATACCACCACATTGCTTAATGATACATAAGGTCTAATACTTTCAGTATAGCCTCTTGCTGATCCATTTATTATTAATAATATTAGATACTGTATTGTTCTAAATAAATGTACAAACACATTTTACAAGTCAAAAGATTTTTATGTTTAGTTTAAACCACATTGGATGAATTTGAACAAAACTGCAATTAAAAAAAATTATAAAGTCAAATTTAATTTTAAAAAATTTAAATAAATACTTACATTAACAGGTTGAGGACCTGTAATTCTTTCAGAAGGAGATCTACTATGACCATGATAGTTATGTATGTTACTAGTGAGACTAAGTGGAGGAGGAGTTGGAGCTAATCTACTTCCAGGACTGGGTTTTCCCAGCAATATTAATGCCACATAAGGAACAGCTGAAAATCAATTATACTGGATATTAATAATGAAAATTTCAAAATTGTACAGGGTGTTCCCTTCAAATTTCCATAGTTTTAAACTCTACAAAATCCATTTGTTCGGGTACATGAATAAAATATGCTACAAAAGATGGTAAATACTCTAAGGTTCATGTGCATATACTCATAAGGACCATCACAGAGGTGTTCCAAAGGATTTCCACTATCACATCATCTAAATTGTTGTATTGGCTTGATGCAGCCCAATTTATCAGTCCAACTATCACCTGACATCACCTCTTTAAGCTTTTTTCTTTGTGGGTATGTCAACAATTGTGTGTATACTATGCTTCAGAGCCCTAAATACAAAAATCATGGGTATCATTAACAGTGACTCATAACATCTGGCTTAGACTTGGACAAAAATCAAGTACAGATTGGATATCATATGTGGTCTTGATGTCACACATGCTTTAATATAATAAGTATCTTTTTCAGATGCACTCTCTACCACCATTATTTTCAGTATTGTACTCATGTTTCTTTTCCCAAAAGTAATCCAAAAAACTAGAGAATTTTAGGGGAACATCCTATATTATTTTTGTTAGCACTTTCAACAAATTTATATTCATCTTCAGGCAAACAAAAATTTTAAAATAAAACACAATATTCTAATGTAAATGGAATAAATATCATTTAAATCAAAGTTAAAAGTCATTATGTGCACAATCAAAGTTCAATTACACAAGATAATGAACCGAAATGCAGACATGCATTAAGCTATATTGTGTTCCTATATTATTTCTGAAAATAAAAGGCATTAATTTATAGTGATATAAAATCAATAAAACAAAATAAAAACAGTTATAATATCANAATATCTTCAGTACTTGTCTTTAAATGTAAAAAAATAATAATGCTAAATGGATAATTATGGTATCAATGTTTACATAAACATCATTTACTAAGCTTATTTTATATCAGAAATACTCACTGATGAAAGAATAGAGAAATTCCATAGCACGTATAATATGTTTAATATAAGCTCAGAATTTTTAGTACTCGATTATATTTCGCCACCAGATATATTGCGCTTTCTCTCTGTCTCCCAACAAGCGCAATATAACGAGGGGCTACTGTATATTATATTTACAAACACCAATTTTTACAAACGACCAAATTATGATTAAATAATCTTCAATGTACGATATAAAATCTCACAGGTCATTCAGTCAAAAAAATTTGTTGATCTCATCCAAAAGAAATCAAAAAAACTCAGCAAATAGAATTCAGGGGCGTTCTTATTATTATAATTAATTTGCTGAGAAGGAGAGAGATAGAAATCAAAAAAGATTTAATGTAATAAATTAGAGCAAAAACTGAGCCAAAATTTCATAATTCAGAACAATTTTTACAAAAAAAACAAGTCAAGATGAAAGTAGCCCCAAATAAGTTTTTTCATTAAATACTAGAATAAAAAAGTATTTATTTTATGAATATATAATCACTGAAATCAAAACATAATACTGTATATGAAAAATTTGACACATAATAAAGAAAAATATTTACCATAAGTTGATAAAACATTTTTTACTAGTCTATTTTATATTAGTAATTTCAATTCATTATTATGTTAAATTATGTCATTTATATCTTTTCATCACATCTGTTAAACTTTTATCTGTATAATACTCAGTCAGATCAATAAATTATTTTTATTCAGTAACTTAAACAATAATAACAATTTCCACATAGTTTGTTCTAGCATTCCATCTATGTTAGATTTTACTAAAAATGTATCCCCAATTAAGTTTTCACGATTGTAAAAAGTTTAAATACAGTAATAAACAAAAAAAAAAAACAGTATCAAAGGCTTTTTATTTATTATAGTTTAGTATCCAAAAGTAAAGTGAAAAAATTTCAAAAGTGCTCGGTATTCTATTGAAACAAAATGAAAAATATACATCTATTTAAAAAATAATAGTAATAATATAAATCAAACAAAAATTAATAAATATCCATCACTTACGGAAATACTTTGATGAACTCTGGTTAAATTAAATAATTGATCCTCCAAAGTTTTCACTCTTTTGGCTGCACCATTCATTTCAGCTTGAAGTTTATCTGATGGAGTTTTAGCTAATTCACTTTTTAAATTCTGAAATAAATTAAAAATTAAACAAATTTTCAGATTTAAATAAAATATAAAAATATTATAAATTATTCTTAGATAATAAAGGATACATAATAATTTCCAAAAATATGAAAAATGTGATACACATTCAAAAGGCTTGTCTACACATGTTAATTGCCAGATGAAATCACAATTAACTTTCACAGTAAAATTTTACATAATGAACATCTTATGAAACTTTCTATTCAACAAATATTTTGGTGGAATTTGTCAATTGAAGTAATTTATCATGTTATTTTGATTGTATTTTATAAAACATAGTTCCATTTAACAAAATAAAAAAAAGGTAGAGTTCAACAAAAATATAAACAATTTTTGAATCATAGTAAATAGTAAAACATTTCTTGGAAATTAACCTGTCCAGTATCAAGAAGTCACACAGATATGTCTAACACATTAAAAAAAAAGTTCATGCAAAAACATTTTCACTTAATTCTTAGAAGTTAATTAGTTCCTGTAGTGAAAAAGTTCTAGGTAGAAATTTCTGGCTGTTTTAAAATCTAGGTCTGTGCATTTTACAAAAAGAATGTCAGAAAATAAGTCAAATGTCTCTAAAAAAGTTCATATAATAATAATAATAATTTGACAAAATTGTGTCAAACAGCTGGTTAGCTCAGAGATGCCTCTTTGGTGAGACAGAAGTATTCATGATTGCCATACAGGATCAGATCATAAATACTAAAAACTACAGACAACACATACTCCAAGATATAACACTCACAAATGAATCACACAGAAAATGTCACATCATGCCAGAAACTATACAACACATCACTTCTGATTCCAAACTCTTGGCATAAGCAGATTTATATAGATATAATCAAGTAGCAAATATAATGCACCAAGAGCTTGCAAACAAATACAAATTATTAGATATCTACAAACCATATTACAAATACATTCCACAGACAGAATTGGAAAACAACATGCATAAAATGTATTACGAAAGAGCCATAATCACAGATAAAACAATTTACTACAACAGACCAGACATCACACTCATTGACAAACATAATAAAATCACATACATTAGACATATCCATTCCAAACACTCACAATATACAAAACACATAAACTGAAAAAATCAGCAAGTACACATAACTTGCCCAGGAAATAAGGCATCTGTGGAGGAGGGATAGGGTGCTTATTGTACTGTACCTGATGTTCTTTCCCCTATAGGCATCATATCACACATACTATACAAAAGCCTGGGAACATTACAATTGAATAGAAACACATACATCACATTACAGAAGGCCACTATATTGAATACATGTCATATTATTAGGAAATTCCTGAATATAAGTTTCCATAGTTATTAAACAAAACATAACTTTCATTTATTATATATATATATAAACATCACTAAACCCAATGTATTATTAATAAACTAAACAATCACCATAGTTAATTGGGCTATTTTCCACAACTATTAATAATTATTAAGATATTAAGTAATTTAAGTAATTACTTAAGTAATTTTGGCAGTACTTCAGATGAAGAATAAGATATGGCTCGTTCAAAACAATGAGCCATTATTTATTCCATTGACAATAAATTGGTTTAGAAGAAATAAGTTTTCATAAAAAAATAATATTAATTTAAAATATTATCTTACTTATTTTAAACACTGTCATAATAGTAAACTGATACATTCTGTCATTTTATATAAGAATAAAAAAATTTTTCTTTTTAAATACTTTTGTAACTTACTTCAACAAAAATAAGTTCTTGTTCCAACATTTTCCTAATTGTTCCTATTCTTTCGTTTTCAACTTCTTGTTGTATTTCAGGCTAAACATTAAAATTATGGAATTTATTATATTTTATATAAAATCTTTCAATATTTATATAATATTTTTAATTATTGTTTTTTTTTTATTTCTAAATGAAGGCTTTTCATGCTAAATAGCATTGCCTTTTAACATTGAAAAGATAAAAACAAAATAAAATAAAAATAAACTGTTATATTATGTTATGTTAAAGTAAAACTTTCTCAATTTTTTAAATAATTTGTTTGCATTTTTTCCTTTTCTATAAATTTGCAGTCATTTTTTAATTGATTTTATCTTACTTTTTAGTTTGTAAGAACTAAGAACATAATATCTGTAAAAAACTTAACAAATTCAATATAGAAAGATAAAAGATTTAATGTAAATAAGAAAATATACAGGATTAAAGCTAAAACTATTCATAGTAAACTTTTAAAGTCTTTATTACCAGCAGTTTTTTTTCAAATGTTTTTATCTGTTTGTGCAGCCATCATCAAATTAAAATGAACAGAACACAAATCAAATGCCCAATTTAACAGTAAAATTAAACACACAGAATAAAAACAATTTGTAACAAACTTGTTACAAATTGTGTACTGTTTATTTTATCTTTCATTTTATTCTGATGGCTGCACAAACAACCAAATATGTTTAAAAAATAAAGAAAAGCCAGTAAACTTTATTTTTAGACAGTTTTTTTATACAAATCTCATAAACTAGTATTTGAATTATAATAAACTATTTAAGTTTAAATAAATAGTAATATGAGAACTTTTTAAAATTTTAATTTGAAAAAAGTAAATTTAATAAGTCTAAATATGGATTACATGAAATATTTATATTTATGGAGTTATCAAATGATTAGTTATCACTCTCTGAAATGTTCAAATATACCAACAATTAACATTTCACACAATTTCCTAAATATACTGCTGAACAAAATTAGGAGATAATGTATTATTAATAGTGGATAAGAATACAACACTCTTCTTAATAATCTCATTTTATCAATGCTACACAGATGGGCTATGCCAGTATTCTATTTCTAAAAACAGTTTTTTTCTGGTATGCATATATGGTGACTAAAAAGTAATTCTGTTTTAGAAAAAACACAGTGTTTAATATCAATAATTATTATTTTTACTTTATAAATATGCACATTTATATTGTGGAAATTATAGTATTTTTTAAATTTTTTGTGTAGCTTCATCAGCACTTTCTTCCGTTTCTGGTTTTGGATTTAGCGTCAGTTACGAAACGATGCCCTTTTAGTAGTCACATTTTTACCTTTCTCTTTCAAAATATCATTCTCATTTTCTCACAAGAATGTAACAGGAAAGACAATTACCAAACAATATTGTCTTTACAGAAGGCTGAGGTGGTTAAAGCATCAGCCTACCACTCTGGGAACTTGGGAATGAATCTGAATGAGTTCAAAATCACCAAGAATTTTTTGGGGAGTGATCTGTGATCCTGCCCCTCACCAACTCGTTACCCCATTATGGCGTAAATCCATAATGAAGCTGAAAATAGACCCTCTTAGTTTCCACAGAATAGAAAGAGTTGTCTATTCATCAAAAGAAGCCTCCAATGATAAAGGGGGTCTCCACCCCATTTTCTTTTTATTGTGAGTTCCAATCAGCCTACAGCATTCAATGTGGCTAATAGAGAAGCCCAGTTTGTTTCATTCATTTTTATCATACCACTCACTAGCCTTCTCGCCTGAATATATAGAATATTTTTTATGGACCAACCATCAATACTATTTACAGGGTGTTTATAAATGAATGGTGCAGTTTTAAAAATTAATAATAAATCTATTTATTACCTTATATGGGCAAACCTTACAACATAAGCAGCGGCAACAGTCCAAGTTCACAGGAATGTACCTGAGCTCCTTAATCGTGTTCTTCACCAATGCTGGATTGGACGTGGTGCAGCAGCAGACAACAACCTGCTCCTCTGGCCACCCCATTTGCCAGATTTAATACCCTGCATTTCTTTTTGTGGGGTTTGTTAAAGACCGAGTTTATGTACGTCAATGCCCATGTCCCTTGAGGAATTGTGTGATCAGATAAAGCATGCACTGCAGATCATCACGGAGGATATGCTACACTACGTATGGGAAGAATTTGATTACTGTGTAGATGTGTGTCATGTGACCATGGGTGCACATATTGAAGGATTGTGATTAATGCATAAAAAACTTGAACAGTTGCCGCTGCTTATGCTGTAAGGTTTGCCCATATAAGGTAATAAATAGATTTATTATTAATTTTTAAAACTGCACCATTCATTTATAAACACACTGTACTGGCTACCATTATTTTTTATGTTATCTATAGGTATGTTGTACTGGTGAAATCTGGTTAAAATTGTTACAAGTTTTTGAAATCGCATATCCTACCAAAGATGCTTTTTGTTATCCTGTTTTTTAACATCAGAAATTTTTTGCTTGCCCCTGACAAGTTACCAGATATATACAAACTTAAATAAATGTAAATTCTTAAAACATTTGTTTTTCCTTTTTTGGTGTATTTCAAATCATAGTTTCATACTTATTATCTTTTTTTACACAAGTTTGTCATCAATGATATGTTGCTTCTTGCTCAACAATGTTTTCAATGCAGTTGATTGCTATGGTAAAAATGTTCAGTAAAGATAATAAGACTATAAAACAGTACTGTTAAAATGACATAAAACTTATAAAACTTCAAAACTGAAATGTTTGTTTAATTAAAATATTAATAAATTAAAACTAAAAAATATTTCAATTAAAATTTTATGTCCAAAATAATATGTCTAAAACTTAAAAGTTTAAAATGAGAATGCATAAAATGTTATATATGAAAAGAATTAAAATTGGAACATTCAATTAAAATGTGTTTAATTGATAAAACACAACTATATTACTGACAAATAAGCACATCCTCATCCAACATAAGATGGCTGTGTGTGAGAGAACTATATTCTATATGCATGAATTATGCAAGAACTTCTTGACTATTCCTATAATGTTTTGACTTCTATTCTTGACATCTAATTTAATCTCATTAAATTTATTATTAATTTAAGCTTCTCAATAAATCTGCCAAAGTCCATACATGTTATTTTGATGACAGTAGAAAGTTATGAAAGTAACATAAGACAAGACTGAAAATGCAGAGCTCTCTTGTGCCTTAACAGCAACATCAGCTAGCATGTTCTCTTTTATCCCAACTTGCATCAGGAGCCAATAAAACTTAATATGTCTTTAAACAAAAGGAGTTTTTCTTAGATTTATTAAGCTGGGGTGCACTATGTATTGCCAGGATATTAGGGTCTGTAAATTGTCTGAGTGAATTGAAAAATATAATGCAGAAATAGCTAAACAGATGACATGCTTCAATATAAAAAGACTGCCATTCTGAAAAGTACACAGATAATAACACAAAAGGTTGGGTAGCTACAATATTATCTGAACTCATATAAGATAATTCTGCATGACCTAGAAATGTAAGGTACAAGATTGACTTACTTATGAATGGAAGTATACACATGAACACATTTAATTGAAGCAGTGAACACATTTAATTGAAAAATGCCAAAACGTTAGCATAGATTTTTTTCTATTTACAAAGCACAATTATACAAAAAAAAATAAATTGAGCTTAAGTACCAAAAGCATGTCAGGATGGCTAAATAATTTTTCCTAAATATTTGTGCTGAAATGAAAGTGCATCTTATGTATCATAAAATACAATAATACTTATCATAAATGAATGTGCTAAGTATATAAATAAAAAAAATTACCAAGTTGAGGGTGCCACTATTAGAAAAGGGTTGAAAAACACTGTGTTATTTATATGTATATATTGTCTACTTGGACTTTGTTTATTAATAGGACTAGATATTTTGTTTTGACTTTTGACTAAGATTTCCTCTCTTTGCTAATCAGAAACTTCATCAGTGTAATAAGTCCTATTAATAAACAAAGTCCAAGCAGACAACATTTAAATAGAAATGTAAAAACTAAGAACAAAGAAGTAAAAAAGAACTGTGTTATTTAATTAACTAGAATTCAAATTTGATTGCATATGCAGGCTTTATGAGTTAAATATTTTTATCAGTAATTTTTAGAGTGAACAGACACTATTCTAGTAATAAAGAAGAAAATATATACTGTATAACAGGATCAGAGAGGATTTATTTCCATACTAATTTCTATCAAATGACAGATATGTGAAAATAAATCCTTAATTGTTATCTTTACAAACAAATGTAGAAAAATGACCATTTCTAATAGTTATTATTATGGCTTAAATTGCTTGAAATAGTGTTCATTACACAATTATGCATAATTCATGGACAACTGCTATGAACCATCTTTAATTCTTTTTACATAAATACATTTATTTTGCATTTTCTCATTACTAATAAAAATATAAAAACTCATTTTTTTATTTTTTTGTCATACTATGATTATGATAATTTGCTACACAATCTTTTGGCATGTTTTTGAGAAAATGTTCCCTCCACCAGTATATCTGTATTTGCAAGTTACTTTGTTTTCACCCTTATATCCAGGTATCTTAAATCTTGAAGTCATCATTAACCTGTCCCATGTTATTCCCAACTTATCTTGGAGTCGCAACCTGCTGACCTTGGCCAGTTGGTCCGAGATATCTTGTTTCAGCATTGGAACATTTTTGAAACTAGATGCCGCTAGTCGTTATAATTTTTTTTATTAAAACTAACTTCTAAAATATAATTTTTTTTTTGTTTTTAAATTTATCAATATATCTATTTTGGTTTGTGCAAAATAGAAAAATAATTTCAGATAATACAATAGCCACAAATATTTTTCAAAAATGTGTAATTTTCATTAGGCTTAAATCAACAAAAATTCAACATCACACTACACAAAAAAGAATTTTTTGAAAAATTTCAACACAGGATAGGTTAAACCTATCCATATAAAAGTAAAACCACTGTCTTCTTGACAAAATTCTGAAAACAACTGCTAGACAAATATAATTAGTTAGCAGTGGACAAATTCATGAAGATTGGTATCCCACAACAACTCATCAACTCATGATCTGATAGTAGTGGAGACACAATTATATCATTCATGTCTAACTCATTTCATTACATGCTTAAATAATATGTAACTCAAAGCATAGAATGCAAGAAAGTTTAGAGTGAAATAATGAAAATTCAAGTACAAAAATAGTGAACCATCCATAATGATTTGTTAGAAAACACAACTTTGTGATAAAAGGGAAAAACTTCTTCCTCCTAACAGAGATTGAAGATTTGAATGCTTTGACAGACACATACTAAATGGCAATGTTGGAAAGTACCTGTATACCACCACATTGCTTAATGATACATAAGGTCTAATACTTTCAGTATAGCCTCTTGCTGATCCATTTATTATTAATAATATTAGATACTGTATTGTTCTAAATAAATGTACAAACACATTTTACAAGTCAAAAGATTTTTATGTTTAGTTTAAACCACATTGGATGAATTTGAACAAAACTGCAATTAAAAAAAATTATAAAGTCAAATTTAATTTTAAAAAATTTAAATAAATACTTACATTAACAGGTTGAGGACCTGTAATTCTTTCAGAAGGAGATCTACTATGACCATGATAGTTATGTATGTTACTAGTGAGACTAAGTGGAGGAGGAGTTGGAGCTAATCTACTTCCAGGACTGGGTTTTCCCAGCAATATTAATGCCACATAAGGAACAGCTGAAAATCAATTATACTGGATATTAATAATGAAAATTTCAAAATTGTACAGGGTGTTCCCTTCAAATTTCCATAGTTTTAAACTCTACAAAATCCATTTGTTCGGGTACATGAATAAAATATGCTACAAAAGATGGTAAATACTCTAAGGTTCATGTGCATATACTCATAAGGACCATCACAGAGGTGTTCCAAAGGATTTCCACTATCACATCATCTAAATTGTTGTATTGGCTTGATGCAGCCCAATTTATCAGTCCAACTATCACCTGACATCACCTCTTTAAGCTTTTTTCTTTGTGGGTATGTCAACAATTGTGTGTATACTATGCTTCAGAGCCCTAAATACAAAAATCATGGGTATCATTAACAGTGACTCATAACATCTGGCTTAGACTTGGACAAAAATCAAGTACAGATTGGATATCATATGTGGTCTTGATGTCACACATGCTTTAATATAATAAGTATCTTTTTCAGATGCACTCTCTACCACCATTATTTTCAGTATTGTACTCATGTTTCTTTTCCCAAAAGTAATCCAAAAAACTAGAGAATTTTAGGGGAACATCCTATATTATTTTTGTTAGCACTTTCAACAAATTTATATTCATCTTCAGGCAAACAAAAATTTTAAAATAAAACACAATATTCTAATGTAAATGGAATAAATATCATTTAAATCAAAGTTAAAAGTCATTATGTGCACAATCAAAGTTCAATTACACAAGATAATGAACCGAAATGCAGACATGCATTAAGCTATATTGTGTTCCTATATTATTTCTGAAAATAAAAGGCATTAATTTATAGTGATATAAAATCAATAAAACAAAATAAAAACAGTTATAATATCAAAGCAGGTACTTTATTTTTAAATTACTTTCATTTTAATTTTTAGAAGATTCAATCAATAAATCTAAAATATAAATTACCATTTTCTACAAAAATACTAGTTTCTAATATTAATATACTAAAAATAAATACAACTTTTTTACAAAGAAAAATTCTTTGTTTCAGTCATTTTTTCGTTGTTCACACCATCAGCAGTTCATTAAAAAACACAAATACTCACGGAGACGACCTTCCTTTTTAGGCTACTGCCTCCGTAGTTAAAATGTAAAAAATGATAAAAGCGTCCTCTGGTGCTTTTTCCACAATCACATGATACATTTTAAGTAAAAATAAGTTTACATGGCCAACAATTATTTAATATTAATATACTAAAAGCATTGTTTACTTTGAAAAACTAAACAATGCTTTACATTTAAATTTGAAATTCAAAGAATTTGAAAATATGTATTCCAAACTTGTTCAAATTATTTGATAAAAAGGTTTATATACGTAGGCAGTTTTTTCCAACCTCTGATGGCCCATAACACAAAAATAAGTGTAAATAACAAAATGAATTTATTACCAAAAGTTAGATACTTTTTGACATAATCATCGTGAAGATTGAGACATTTGTCTATCTATGGATGAACTTTGAAATCCCCTCTGTTGCCGCCAGTGATTGGGATGGGCCTTAATTTAACATTGTTTTGAAGATTGTCATTATTCTCAAACCTCTGCACTGCTAGCCAAGTTTTCAGTTCAGAAAATAGATGGAAGTCTTCACACATTAAAGATGTGAAGACTGTCACCTTTCAGACTTCCACCTAGCTTGGAACTTTTTAAACACCCAGTGTACAGCCCCAATTTAGCACCGAGCAACTTTCATCTCTTCCTGAACTAAAAACATGGCTAGGAGGGCAGAGGTTTGAGAATAATGACGATCTTCAAAACAATGTTAAGGCCCATCTCAATCACTGGTGGCAACATTTTATGAAGAGGGAATTTCAAAGTTCGTTCACAGATAGACAAATGCCTCAATCATCATGATGATTATGTCGAAAAGTAACCATGTTTGTACCTAACTTTTTGTAATAAATTCATTTTGTTATTTACACTTGTCATTGTTTTGGTCCATCAGAGGTTGAAAAAAAAAAAATGCTCTTGTAACAGTAATAATACAGGTGTAAAAGTTAAAAATAAATTTAAAAGAAAAAAAAACAATAAAATTATAGCATATCAAATGATATGTGATGTCAGTCAGCTAAATTATCACCTCTATAAATTATCTTATGTTTCTTAATTTTTTAAACTAAAGTCAAAAATATCTGAAAATGCAACAACTTCTTTGCCTCAAATAAACAGTAGTCTTTCCTAAGCCAATGAGCTACACAAAAATTAGTAAAAGGTAGTTAAAAATGAAAGTAAAAATATTTACAAAATATAAACACTTCAGTAAAATTGCACTGGAGGATGCACAGCAAGAAGTTCCAGAAATAAAAAAAAGAGGCATTACTTTGTATGTCCCTCTAAAACTGGCCAAATGAGTAAAATTATTTGTAGCAAATGTAAGAAAAATGTAGACCAGGTGTATAGAGTTATGATATGTAAGAAATGTAACAACAAATAAATGTTACAAAACTTACAAAGTACTGTTTCTGTGTATTTTGAAATGGCAGTCTCAGAGACTCGCCTTATGTAAGAGTGTAAAAAAGTTTACATCATGCATCTTAGGCTTAATAATCTCTACAATAACACTACATAATCCAAATAATAAAAACAGAATTTCATTTTTCATTTTTTCATAGGCTGTAAATTTATTCATATTATACAAGTCTAAATTCATTTATATTTCGTCTATATTTAATCATATTATATAAGTCTAATTCATTTCAGTAGAACTCAAAAACATAATAAATATTAAAACTTTGATGAATTAGTTTTAAAATTTTTTGTAGTAGTTTTATTCAATACAGAAAAATATTTAAAAATAAATTTACTAAATTTCAGACAAAAAATCTATAAATAAATTAAATAATAGTTTAGTATTATAAAATTACCATATTACATTTCAAAATTATTCTCATACCCCAATTAGGTCCAGTTGGGGGATGTAAAAAGATACAACCCTTAATTAATTAATGTATTTAAACTCAAAAAGCAATAAACTGACACTATTAGCATACTTAAATAATTCATTTTTTAGTTTCAGAAAAGACATAGAATAAATAAAAATCATTAATATGTTAATAATCATTTTTATCAATATCAAAATCAAGATGGCTTATTTTAAAGCTGTTTATGTCTTCAGTGATCCCATTGTCACCTTTTAAGCTCTTATAAAATTTCAAGCAGTCTATTAGCATAAGATACATACATCATTTCTTGCAAATTGTCAAGTTTTTGCCTTAGCAATAAGCTTGCCATTTAGCCATAATGATGTTAGATCATTAAAAATATCTACTACTTTTTCAGGAGATCTCCTGCATCAAGTAACTTTTTTATATTATTTACTTGATAGGATTTGAAAAATCATTTTGTTTCACCACGAGCAAGAACCAATCTTTCCAATTAGAATGGAAAGAATGGTACATTTCTTTTCATTCTAATTGGTCTGAAGTGAAGTCAATTAATTTTTTCATTGATAATAGTTGTTTTTATATTAACTATGTTCTTTTCAATATTTATTATTCCAAAAGTGTCCAAAGATGTCATTTCAGTTACAGTAAGTGTTTTTTCTTCCTACACTTACTCATATTGTTAATGTATTCAGAAAGTGTGTAAACTCATTGTTGGTATTTCAACAATGAAATTTGAAATTTGAATGGTTTGGAAGTAAACTATGAGTCAAACAGAGAAATTTAAGTGTAATGTCCTCCATAAAGCTAACACCCACTTGGTAGCTCAAGTAAATTGCATATAAATACAGCAGAGTCCCGCTAGTCTGAACTAATTGGGACCAAGCCCAGTTCAGATTAGCAGATTTTCAAATTAGCCGAATAATTAAAATAATGGAGAAGCAAGCAGTAAAACAGGTCTGGTTTATATAGATCCAACACTATCAATGATGTCAACACCCCACCCTGGACAAAGGTGAAAGTGAAATAAAATTGGCAGTAGAGTTTGGAGTGGGCAAAGCCAAAATAACTGACTGGAAAAAATCACGTAAAGATCATGCAGTTTTGTGCCTCTACTTCAGAAAAATCAGTTAAAAATCGACAAACAGCAAGGCCCTCAACATTTGACAAGCTTGATGAAGCCTTATTCACGTGGTTCACTCAGGAAAGAGCCGACCAAAACATGTTCAGATTAGGAGGATGTTTGGATTAGCAGTGTTCAGACACTGCTAATCCAAACATCTGTTACAGTAGAGTGGCACTCTACTGTAACATATAAATCAACAAAGTGAGTTGAATGGTTTCTGTAAAATATTGAAATGTTTATAATGAAATTATGGGTTAGTCACTGAGCTTTTTAAATACACTACCAATAGTTGTGCAATTTGGTATTTCTGTAAAATGAAAATTGTACAATACTGAATTTGTATACAACTTTAACCCATTCTTTTTTTTACATTTGAAGGTTGGTAGCTTTTTGCATAATTGAGCTCAATTAATTTCAATGCTAGAAAAAGTATTAAATAAAATATATTCATGCAAAATATTATCTGACAGTAACAACTTAATTGTGTAAGATTGTTAAAAAACATTAAGTTTTTGAAATGCTAAATTATTTTCCTTAATTTAATCTTTTTCAATTTCATCCTACAATGATAAAAAAGTATACTCACATTTGATAAGTTTAACTACTTCTTGATGATTGGACTGCGTAACCAATGTTCCATTAACCTGTATTAAAAAAAATATATTTATTTTTAATAAATTTTTTACAACAATTCACAATTATTATGTTAAAATATTACTTTGTTCATATGTACAGAGCATTGATATTAACAAATACCGCATATCTTTTGATATTGGTGAAGACTAATCTAACATCTAATATAACAGGTACAGCAGATCATGTAAGTTAAGAACATGTATTGGGGGATGGTGTTAGAGCATTTATTATTCTGTATTGTGTTGATACATATTGAAAGAATGAAAGGGAAGATAATTTGGAATGAAATAATGTTGAAAATTCTGACTTGAAAATATTGTACCATATAGTATGTAAGAAACAATTAATTTCTCATGCCAAATAATTCTAACTAGATAAAAGTTAAGATTACTCAGATTTGAATTTAATTAAAACACATTAATTAATGAACTTAATTAAAACATAAAACCCCACAAATTTTTTGTTTTAATTATTAAATTTTGTTAACATCAATAGACAGTGGTCTTAACTTATGTCTAGTAAATGTATCATGCAGGATGACATTAAAGAAACCACGACTTTGAGACAATAAATGAAACAATTGCTTCCTCCTAATAGAAAACAAGATTCAAATGCATCCAGGGTGCCGATTATGCTCAATCATATAAAGTTTCAAGACAATTAATGAAATCATCTCAGAGAAACTTATGGTAGAAAAAAACAATATAATGGCAATAGCTACAAAAACATTACAATAAAATGGAGTAGAAAATAAAACACTAAACACAAAAATCCTACAAAAAACAAGTACTTTAATAAAGAAACAAATGTTTTCTATCATTCTAACTGTTTATAGTTCTTACTATTCATTTCTTTATAAACTATTTGTTTTTTACTGGATTTTGATGTTTAGTGCTTTATTTATACATCTATATCCAGTTTGTCAAGTTGTTCTTACTACAATTAAAATGTAATAATGTCCTGGCTAACCCTAAAGACATTAATTGGAAAAATTTGCCAAATGCAGAAAAACCATGTGTTTAAAAAGTGAAGTTGGAATATTGTCTACTTTGTTTCTGATCAATTTAATCTCTTGTTATACTGCAACCTTCTTAGATGGTTATGTGTTTCATAGTAGAGATGATTCAGTCTCACTAACTATAGTTTCAATTTTTACAAAAGACTGAAACTGAAACAGAACCAAAAAAAGAAAATACATTTTTATTTCAAAACTTTTTTCAACATGGCTATTTAACCTTTCATCAGGATGACCCCATCCTCAGGACAGTATTTTTCTTCTTATGTACACCACTGTTTCCAAGTGCATGTGATCAACTTGAAGAGTAGGTGTATTTTTGAAGGGATAGGTATACGGCACTAAACAATAATAGTGTGAGGAATGTTTTGGTTTTAGAAAACAGTTACTTTTTTCAAAAGAAATAAATACATATAACCTGTCCCCATTACATTGCACCTGCTCATGTTATGTGGACATGTGAAAAAAATTGAAGTAATTTTTTTATTTTTTTCCTACTATTTTTAACCTTTCTTACCTTACTATTGTTAGTAAATATTAAGGATTTAAAAAATATTTGTTTTTGAATAAACGCTAATTTGTATTAATAAAAATATTAACTTGTACTTGAGCTAGAATTAAGTAAAATTATCACCTTTTTAAATATTCCAGCAAATAATTTAATATCATAAAAATGTTTTCAATTGTCTTTAACGATCTTCATCAGTTAAATAATAAAGTAAAAAGAACATTAAAGAAATAGAACTTAAATTAAAATTACGAAAAAATAATAACTACGCATGCGTTTGTAATGATGTGCGCTTAAGGGAATGAATACAAAAAGATGGGGATATATGAATATAAAAAATAAAAAAATAAAATAAAAAGCTCAACAGAATCACATTAAAAATGAATGCCTCGTAAAAATTACAATTTATCTTCATAAAATGATTTCCATGCTGTAGATAGAGAGTGGGCGTCCCTATGATTGATACAAGAAGTTTTCCCTTGGGCTTTATAAATCTCAAGCTTTTCAAGATGTTTGATGGAGTGCTTGCTAGACATAGGTCTAATGATGGAAACTTGGTCCCATATAACCTCAACTCCTTGCTGGTTGGCGTAAGATGCTAAAACGGTGTATAAAGCCCAAGGGAATAACTGTGGTAATCCACAATGAGTCTGCTAGTGTAGATAAAAAAGACGTTGAGAAGTTCTGTCTCAAATTTGAAGAATTCATTAAAAAAGAAAGATATTGTCCATGACAAATTTTCAATTGTGATAAAACTGGTTTATTTTGAAAGCACATGCCAAACCATAACTACATCACAAAAGATGAGAAAAATATTCCTGGACATAAACCCATGATTGACATTATTTTTGGGAGCTAATGCTAGTGGTGATATGAAGCTTATCCCACTTCTTGTCTATCACTCTGAGAACACTAGAGCATTCAAAAAAATTCCATAATTAAAGAAAGACTGCCAGTGATGTGGAGATCAAATAAAAGAACATGGGTCATACAAGCTCTTTTCAAAGAATATCTGTTTAAAGTTTGTGCTCCAGGCATCAAGGATTACATTCATACCAATGAATTTCCATTGAAAGCACTGTTGCTATTGGACAACACACCAGAACCCAAAAGACCTTAAATATAATTTGCTGGATAACTTTCCCTAGCTGACAGTTCAGTTTCTGCCTCTAAATACCATTTTGTTGATTCAGCCAATGGATCAGGAGGTTATTGCTAGTTTTAAGAAATTGTACATTTGCACACTGTTTTGTCTGAGTTTTGAAGCATGCCAGTTCTCCTCAACAATGACATTAAAACATTTTGGAAAAAAAAATTTGTTATTCTTGAAGCTATCTGGCTCATTCAAAAGGCATGGTCAGAAGTCACTCAACAACAGTTGAATTCTGCTTGGTGAAAGCTGTATCCCTCTTGCATTCAGGAAAACAGAGATGATGTTCCCGAAATTATAGATGAAATTGTGACAACTGCTAGAGATCTCAAATTAGAGGGAAATGAAGATGACATTGAAGAGCTCATAATGGAACCTGAAACTCCAAGAACTCTTGAATGAAGAATACCAAGAAACTCAGCAAGATGTGTTTACTTCTGAAAAAAAGGAAGACAAAAGAAGATCAATGCTGACATTTGCTATTAAAGATCTTTTGAAGAAGTGTGAGAATATCAGAACAACAGTCTCAGAATGACATTCATACCAGGTTGAGGTTAATAGGCTTGGGGATCTCTACATTCGGGACATTCCAATTTTCAACGCTGACTCAGCGCTGATCTCAACGTTCGTTAAAAGTCATTCCTTTTTTCAACGTTGAAGTGGCGCTGTTGTCAGCACTGTCTCAACACACTTAGCACTCAACAGATATGTTGACTGCTACTTTAAAATGAATTGTGGGTAATTGCTAAAACATTTGAATGGAATCCATCTTGCTGAGAATGGAATTATGGAAACTAAGCACTTCGTACTCGAGTTGGAATGTTGTTGATGACGTCAAATTGTTGACTTCAACACTCAACACTCGCAATGAAAATTAGAATGTCCCGAATGACAATGCTATTAATTACTTCTGTAAATCCTGAAGAAGAGAGAAAAGCAATCAACATTGGACAGATTATTTAACACCCCACAAATGGGAAAAACATGACTGACAAATATGCAAGACTGTGTATGTATGTATGTATTATTATTATGTTGGGTTTAGTGGGTTACTCGGTTCACACCGGTGGCTGTGATACTAGGCCGGACCAGAGTCAAGGCATAGCAACCAAAACAAAACTAAAATTAAATAAGTGTGTCAGTGTCTGTATTCAGGAATTTCCTAACAATGTGGCATGTATTCAATATAGTGGCCTTCTGTAGTGTGATGTATGTATTTCTACTCAATTCTAATGTTCCCAGGCTTTTGTGTAGTGTGTGTGGTATCATACCTGTACAGGAGAGTGTTTGGAATAGCTATGTCTATAATGTATGTGATTTTATTGTTTATATATAAATGATTTTATTGTGTTTGTCAATGAGTGTGATGTCTGGTCTGTTGTTATAAATTGTTTTATCTGTGATTATGGCTCTGTCGTAGTACATTTTGTGCATGTTGTTTTCCAATACTGTCTGTGGAATATACTTGTAGTATGGCTTGTGAATGTCTACCAAGTTGTGTTTCTTTGCAAGCTCTTGGTGTATTATATTTGCTACTTGATTATGTCTGTGTAAATAATCTGTCTGTGCCAAGAGCTTGCACCCAGAAGTGACGTGTTGTATAGTTTCTGGCATGATGTGACATTTTCTGCATGTGTCATGTGTGAGTGTTGTATCTTTGAGTATGTGTTTTCTGTAGTTTTTAGTATTTATGACCTGATCCTGTATGGCAATCATGAATCCTTCTGTCTCTCCCCAAAGAAGCATCCCCGATCTAACTAGCTGTTTGACGCAGTTTTGTCAACAAAATCCTGGGCCAGGTCATAAGGATGCCTGCCATGGAGTGCCTTTCGAGCCCACGATTGCTTGATGGTGTCTATGCTTTTTATGTGTTGTGTCATGTCTGTATGATGTGAGTGTAAGTTTAATGGTGTGCTATTTGAGTCTGCTAGAGTTAGTGCTTTATGTAATTGTGATGTTACTTGTTTCCTGTAGAAAAACTCTCGCAGTGTCTATTTGTTTGTAGTGAAGGTTAACTATGTCGATCAAGCCACGTCCGCCATCTTTACGTGGAAGGGTTAATCTTTCTATAGCAGATTTAAGATGATGATGTTTACGCTTAGTAAGTGTTGTTCTTGTTTTCCTTTGGAGTTGATCGAGGATCATGAATCAAAAAATAAAAGAGCTATCGACTATAAATAAATACTATGCCATTTGTTAAAATTTGTTTTTTTTTTTTAATAAGATAAAATTCATAAATTTTAAAGCCTGAGCTTCATATTATAAGCAATGTTAAATTTTTTTCAACGTAATTTAAAAAAAATTTTTACTATTAGGTTAAGTCAAAAGTTAGTCA